GAGTCGTATGAGTTCTTTGTAGATTTCGGATATTAACTCCTTATCACACCTGTCGGTTGCCTTTTCAATTTATCGATTGTTTCTGTTTCCGTGCAGAAACTCTTTAGTTTGATGCAGCCCTACTTGTTTATTTTCGCTCTTGCTGCCTGTACTTTTAAGGTCTTATCCGAAAAATCATGGCCAAGACCAACGCCAAGAATCCCCCCTACATTTTCCTCTAGGAGATTGACGGTTTCAGGTCTTAGGTTTAAGTCTTCGATCCATGTCGAGTTAATTTTTGCGAGTGGCTTAAGATAGGGGCCCAGTTTAATTCTTTCACACGTGGATTATCGGTTTTCCCAGCCCCACCTGTCGGGACTATTCTTTCCCCATTGTGTGTTCTTTGTGCCCTTGTCCAAGATTAGTTGGCCATATATGCATGGGTTTATGTCTGTGCTCTCCGTTCTGTCCCACTGGTCCTATTTGGCTGTTTTTATGGCAGGACCATGCTGTTTTCATTACGGTAGATTTGTAATGGGGCTTGAAATCAGGAAGTGTGAGGCCTCCGACTTTGTTCTTTTTTCCCAGGACGGCTTTGGCTATCCGAGGGTCGTTTGTGGTTCCATATACATTTTAGGACAGCTTTTTCCTAATTCTGTGAAAAATGCCATTAGAATTGTGATAGCAATTGCATTGTATCTGGAGATCACTTTGGATAGTATTTGTCGAGAGTTTTTAAAATAAAAGTATGTCGAATTTTGTCCAATGGTTTTTCTGGACATCTGCACACTGTTTTTCCAGTCCATGAACGTGGAGCATCTTTCCACTTATTTGTGTCTTCTTCAACCTCTCTCATCAATGTCTCATACTTTTCAGGGTCCAGGTCTTTCACCTCCTTGGTTCAACTTATTCCTAAGTATTTCATTGTTTTCAGTGTTATTATAAATGAGATTGCTCTCTTAATTTCTATTTCAGAGAGTTTGTTGTTAGTGTATAGAGATGCAAACTGATTTGTGTATGTTGATTTTGTATCCTGATACTTTGCTGAATTATTTATTAGTTCTAACAGATTTTTTTTTTTTTGGTGGAGGCTTTACGGTTTTCTGTTTATAAGAACATGTTATCTGCAAACAGAGATAATTATACTTTTTCCTTTCTGATTTGGATGCTTTATTTCTTTTCCTTGCCAAATTGCTGTGGCGAGGACGACCAATATTATATTGAATAGAAATGGTGATAGCAGGCTTCCTTGTCTTGTTCCTGATCTTAGAAGAAAGGCCTTTAACTTTTCATCACTGAGTATGGTGCAGCTGTGGGCTTGCCATGTACGGCCTTTATTATGTTGAGGAACATTTCTTCTGTACCTAATTTGTTGAGAGTTTTTATCATAAAAGTATGTCGAATTTTGTCAAATGATTTTTCTGTATCTGTGGAAATGATCGTAGGATTTTTTTAATTTTAAGCGAAGCAACCCTTGGTTGACCTCACAGATTGCAAGGACCTTGTCAGCTTACAATCCCTTATTTTTTTTTTTATTTTTTACGCCTACAGCACCTGGTTTTCCTAGATGGTCTCCCATCCAAGTACTAACCAGGCCTGACCCTGCTGAGCTTCCGAGATCAGAGGGGATCCGGCTTGTTCAGGGTGGCATGGCCGTAGCCAATCGTAGGATTTTTATCCTTCATTCTGTTAATGTGTATCACATTTATTGATTTGCTTCTGTTCAGCCATCCTTGGTTACATCCCAGGGATGAATCCCACTTGATCGTGGTATGTAAATCATGTTAATGCGTTCTTGAATTCAGTTTGCTAATATTTCGTTGAGGATTTTTGTGTCTGTGTTCTTTAGGGATATCGTTCTGTAATTTTTCCCTTCTTGTGTCTGGCTTTGGTATCAGGGTAGTGTTGGCCTTGTAAAATAAGTTAGGAAATGTTCCTTCGACTTCACTTTTTTTTTTTAGGAGAGTTTGAAAAGGATTGGTATTAATTTTTCTTTAACTGTTTGGTAGAAGTCACATGTGAAACCATCTAGTCTTGGGCTTTTATTAGTTGGAAGATTTTTATTACTGATTCAATCTCCTTGCTCATAACTGATCTGTTCAGTAAAAAAGGAGAAAGGGACGGAAAACTTATTTAAAATACAAAAGCTCTGACTTCCTAAATCTGAAATGTGGCCATCCAGGTACATGAAGCTCAAAGGTCCCCTAACAGGTACAACCTGAAGAGATTTTCTCCTCTGACTGAACAGCATTAAGAGATCTATTTCTAAATTCTCAGATTCTTTCTTCTGCCCAATTGAGTCTACTGTTGAAGCTCTCAATTGCATTTTTCATTTCATTCATCATATTCTTCAGCTGGTCATGTGAGGTGACCTCGCACAATACCACATAGTGACAACGTAGGTGGCCTCGCTTGGAGTGATCTCTTTGGTCTGTGGGATTAGCACCGTGTCTGGGTCCTGGGGCACAGGTGCACCTCCTGTGGCAGTGGCACTGGTGTCTAAGGTGCAGGCATATGCTCATCTTCCGTGGAGCCAAGGAGTGGGTCTCTGGGTCTCACCACAGTCACTCTTGCCGGGACCTGGGATGGCAGGGTGCAGCAGCAGCACAGCCTGTGGACGGCGGGTCAGTCCCAACCCCCAGATGCCGGTTGCTGCACGGCAGCAGCACGTCCCTGGTGCGTGGCTCATTTCAGCTGCCCGTTAGGTTCCATGGAGCAGGGCGCAGAGCAGCGGCAGGGCCCCTGGCAGACAGTGTAGAGCTTTGACCTGGGACCCAGGGCCAGGGCTCAGGATAGAAGCAGCACAGCCTCATGATGATGGTTCATAGCCACAACCTGGACCCGGGGTGGTGCTCAGGGCAGGGTCATTGTTGTCCTGGTAATGGTGAAAGCATGGCCTCGGGCATGGGGGCGGGGCTCAGGGCAGCACAGGCTGCCCTGGTAAAGGTGAGACTAAGCTGTGACCTGTGACTGAGGCGGGGCTCCGGGTATGGCAGCTCCCTTCTGTGTGGTGAGGCACTGTGAGGTCCCCATCCCAGGGAGCAGGGCATAGCAGCCACTGGGATGCTTGAAGTCTTACCCCAGCGTTAGCTCCAGAACCGGGGAGGGGACGCTTGGTGGGGACCCTGGGCAGCTCTGTCAGCTGGGATCAGCCTTTGTCTAGCCCGTGGGTGACCTCAGTAGCAAAGGCTGCAAACATGCACAGTGCCGAGGCTTGGGGGGTCCTCCTGCTCTCCTTTCCCCCATGTGGTGAGATTCCTCTGGGGGGATCCCCGCCGGCCTCGAGCTGCTCTTGACCTGAGGATGGGGTGACGCAGGTAAAATGCTTCCTGTACTCTTCCATGCGGCCATCTCTGTTTTTGAGCTCTGCGGGATTTTTGCTGCTGCTTCATTGTAGTCCAGAGCTTTCCCTGAGCTATTTGTTGGTTTGTAGTTGTTCATTGTTTTGTTGTTTTTGTGGGGGAGATGAGCATTGGGACCTCCTAGCCCTCTGTCTTGCCAGGTCACCTCCCTCTCACGTGCAGAGCTTTAAAAAGATCGAGACGGGGGTCCCATCCCAGATAGCCTGATTGAATTGTTCTGGGGTGTGCCAAGTTCTCGGGGGGCCTGAAGCTCCCAGGTGACTCTGAGGCTTGCCGTAGCTCCCCTTCTGAGTCCCCGGGCTGTAGGTACAAGTTGCTTCGACTTCTCTTAGCTGGAACATTCTGGTTTTTCAAGGGCTACAATTACAACAGGCAGGCTAGAGAGTAACAGTTGCTATGCTACTCCACCAGTTTATGCTGCCTAAACAATCTTTGAAGTAGTACCAATCCACGTTGAGTACCGATTAATCCAAAGCTCAAGGGCTTTAACGTTTGGTTCAGCCAGTGCGCACATGCAGAAATGTGCGTGGCCAGACCACTCGGGGGCTCAGACACTTTAGTTCTTTTCACGGGTCTCCTTTAGACACAAGCCACACCTGTAAGGGTCCCAGGTGTTTGGGTCTCTTCCTGAAAAACGCAAAGTGGATCTCGCTGTGGGACTTTGCAGTGAGCTTGAGACACTTCCACTCTTGTACACTTGATGGCACCAGAGGGCTGCCCAGCTGAGGACGCCTGGCTGCAGCTCCGTCAAAATCAGGCCACGGTGTCGTTTTTTTTTCCCCGCGAAGTTAGTAGGATCCCCACAAGGCAAAAACAACGCTGTGTGTTGCTACTGGGATAAAATGCAGACGTTATAGTCTCCTGTGGGCCGTGAGACCTCCTTGGGTGAGAAACACAGGCAGATAAACATTAGTTCAAGGCGACAGCTGTCAGAGAAGGGACTGGCCAGGTGTGGTGGGCTCAGAGGAGAGGGCAGGTGATAAGATGCAAGAACTGCCCAGCCTCTGCCTGCAGCGGCCATAAACCATGGCCATATTTAGCACTCTCTTTTGAGAAAGAGAATTGCTCACACCAGGTAGCGAGCGGGTTTTAATCTCTGTCATTGAGCAGGTAGACTCAGGTCCCGACATGCAGGCAAAGAGGAAGGGTCACTTTGAAGGAGTTTAAATTAACCACCCACACAAAGAAAGGGGCTCTACCCCTGTGAGTCCTCTCCTGCAGATGTTTCTGGAATTAGAAAGTGGTGCATTGCGTGGAGAGAGCCGGAAGGGAGCTATTTCTTCTGGGTGGCAGGAGGGCCGGCGTGGAGGTGGTTGTTGGCGTGTGTCTGAGCCAGGGCAGGGCTTTGCTGCAGAGCGGAGATGACACCAGACAGACTCCAGATCCCCAACGGCTGGTGATGGGAGGTGACCTCACACGACGGCGCGGAGTGACCACGTGGGTGGCCTCATCTGGCATGATCTCTTCAGCCCGCCGGACTTTCACAGTGCCTCTGTTATCTGACCTGAGGTCAGGATGAAAGCAGCTCGCAGATCTGGGGTGCCGCCATCATGGTTTTCCCTGCCCACGCCCATCTTTTCCTACACATCTTGCCGTTCATGCACAGTTCGGCTTTGCCTTGAGTGGCTGCCTGTTTTCTCATTGGCATTTCCATTCCAGAGCTTGCTGGCAAGACCCGGACGAGGCCCTTACTTTTCCCCCTGAATTGCAAGAGCCAAGAAATCTACAAACGGCTGTTTATCCGATGGGAGCGGCCTTGCTGGTGGCGGCTGCCGTGGGAAGCATCTTGCTGAAGCCCGTTCAGGTTGGGATAATGAGCTGCGTCTGCTGCGGTCCCGTGTTCAGGGCAGGTGGCCGCAGCACAGCCCGGGGGCGGGCGCCATGGTTCCCAGGGACACAGCCGTCAGCGGAAGTGTGTGAGAGGAAGTCTCCCGTCTCTTCGCTCGGAATGCAGTGTCTCTGCTACGGCAGGAGCAACATCCTGGGAACCGTTAGAATCCATCTTCCTTCTTTTATAGACTGCTAGTGGGAGGAGACTACAGGGGAGGCCACTGCCACCAAAAGGTGTCCCTCAGGAAGCTAAGTAAGCGCTGTCAGTGTCTTTTTTACTGCTCCCCAAAGGGTGACTGCAGACCAACAGCACCAGCGACCCGGGGAGCTTGTCAGAAACGCAGACTCTCAGGCGCCGCCCCGGGCTGGCCCAGTCGGAACCCGCCGCGTGACGAGGTGTGTGTGCACGTGGAAGTTGGACAAGCTGTGCCTCAGAACGCGTCCAAGTGGCATTTCTGGGGACTGCGGAGCTGCTGGGGGCCAGCCCGGCACCCTGTGCGTGCCACCCACGGCCGAGTCCATCGTTGCTGGCAGGTGAAGGAAGCCTGGCTCATGGGTCAGCCGGCAAATTCCCTTCCCTGCCCGGGAGCACAGACCGGGCTGAGCTCAGTCGGGTCTAAGTACTTTCGCTGTAGTATCTTTGCGGCAGACGTTTTTGCCATAACTAATTGGGCACGAGGCAATTTGGCCATAAAAAAAAAAAAAAAAGGTAACTGGTTGACAGTTTTTTGGGGGTTGGGGGTTTGGTTTCATCTCTTCATCGATGAAGTTCTCTCCCATTCTTATATTATATATAAATCGTGTGCAGCCTTCCAGTTCGTGGTCTCTTCCGTGATGACTAGACTGGCGGCAGTGGTGACCTTAAAAGAGCGTTTCTTCCAGATAATGATGATCACCCCTAGAGCTGGTTTCTTATTTTGAAAACCCACTACACTGAGAGGGGAAGGCGAGGCTGAGGGCCTTCTCGGAGGGTGCAGAGTTGAACCCACATGTCCCCTAGAACGAAGGCAAGTGCTTGGGTCTAGTCCACAAAAGAAGGCCAGTCGCTCGTGCAGTAGAGCCACGAATCTGCACACGTTTGAAACGTATTCACATATTTTGTATTTTCTGACAAAATCTTTTTAATTTCGTTATTCATTTTTTTTCACGTTTTATTATATGTCCCTCTTTCATATTTTGTGATTTTTGTCTCTTTTATGGCAAAGGGGCCTTACAGCCAGTTAGTTATGTGGCGGGAATGTTTGCCGCAAGGAGGCACGTGCCGGACACGGAACACGGCCCTGGTCTGCTTGATGCCACGTGGGCTGCATGCCCGCACACCTTCCTTCTGGGCATTTCCATGGGCCACCCCCCGATTCCCTGTGGCGCCGAGGTCAAGTGTAGGGACGGGCTTCATTGGGGTCTTATGGACCGAGGTGGCGGCAGTGGGGACAGACTTCTTTTTTCTTGTCTTAGGCCATCTGTAGGTTCTGAGACAGGAAGACCTCAGGAGAGGAGGAAGCTTCAGGGAGACGGGGCGTGGGGAGGACCAGAGCGGACCTTTGCTTTCCTGTGGCTTTGGTTCCCTGCGGGGGGTGCCGATGTGCTCCAGGCTCCCCGGTCCCAGCCTGGCAGGGCCGCGGGCATTCTGGTCGGGCCGGCTGATTGCAGGCATTGTTCTCGCCCATTAGCTCAGATTTGTGTAGACAGGAGCAGCACCCAGTGTCCCTGCCTTTGTTCATTATCTACCTTTTTTTCCTTTGTGAGGGGAAAAAAGAGCTGATTCCCTTTTGAGGGACATGAAAACTCAGATTTGTCTTCCAAAAGTTACCTTAGAACTCCAGATCACACGGGGGTCCTTCGCTGGCAAGAAGAGAGGCCTTACCTCCTGAATGTATAACTTACAGTACGTTCTCAGCAGACCAAGAAAAATGCCTTTTATCACGTCCTGCTTTTTTTCCTCCCATTGCTTTATTTCACTTACAACATCGCTCGGGCCCAAATGGTATTTGTCAGGAGTAATTGGCAAGCGCCGGAGGCTGTGTTCGGGGCTGCTTGAATGGAAAAATCTCAAAGCAGTTGTCCATGTTGAAAGAAAACATTACATTTGATCTTTTATTTTATTTTTTTATGATTTCTGCAGACATGATGCACGTCTGCATTCTTGAGCCTTATAACCCCTTTATATCTGAGGGGGGAAAAAACTGCAGGAAGTAGCACTTCACAGTTAATTCACCGTGTGCCCGAGAAGCAACCACAACACACGAGAAGTCACTTTAAAAACACCACCCTGATTTATTTTTATTAACTGCCTAATAAAGCCTGCGCCGGTTTGCAGGTGGTTATACACTGAATCATGATTCCAAGCTTCACGTTTCATGTCTCTTTCTACTCGGATGTTTATTCTTCCGGATGAAACTGTGCCACCGTCCACATCCTTGTTTGGAAGCTGTGTGCCCGCCGGTGCAGGACATCATGCAGCTGGCGGATGAGCCTCACCTGACCGGACTGAGGTCCAGAGGGTGAAGTGACGAGACAGAGTGATGCAGGGAGCGGAGACTGCGTCCCCCACACCGTTAGTCTTCACACTCTCCCAGACCGTCCTGCAGGTGTTTCGTCTTAGGTGCACAGCACAGTGACATAGTTTGGAGGCCTTTTAAGGTCACACAACCCAGCAGAAATACACCTTCTTCCACATTCTGCGTGTATATCCGTATCTCTGGAAGGAAATGACAGCACAGTGACCGGGTTGCAGAGCTCGTGGGAGGTGCTTGCCACCTCGTCTCTACTGCACTGGGATGATTCTGGGGTAATAATGCACATGAAGCATCACGTCAAGGTTGTAGGAAACTGGGTCAGAGGTCAGTAAGCTACAGCCAGCCCTTATTTTTGTAAATAAAGTTTTTTTTTTTTTTTTAAATTCAAGCTTTTTAAATTGTAGTAAAATATGCATAACTTAAAATTTGCCATTTTAACCATTTTCAATGTACAATTCAGTGGCATCGAGTACACCGTTGTGTAACTATCACAACTATTTCCAAAACTTTTTAATTACCCTAAATAGAAATTCTGCTCCCATGACACAGTGACTTCCTGTCCCCTGTCCCCCCAGCACCTGTAATCTACTTCATGTCTCTCATTTGTCTAGTCGAGGTATTTCATATAAGTGGAGTCATGTAATATTTGTCATTTTGTGTCTGGTTTATTTCACTTAGCATAATGTTGCTGAGGTTCATCTGTGTCGCAGCATGTGGCAGTACATCATTGCTTCCTGCCTGGCCTGCTTTATTGAAATATAATTGACAATTAAACATTGTATGTATTTAAGGTGCACGCTTGATGATTTGGTATGCATTATGAAATAATCACCACAGTCGAGCTAATTAACATATCCATCACCTCACATAGTTACCGCCGTTTTTTTTTTTTTTTTTGGTGATGACAACACTTAATATTTACCCTCTTAGCCCATTTCAAGTAGACAATACCTATTGTTAACTATAACCCAGTAGTGTGCATTACATCTCCAGAGCTTGTTCATCTCGGGTCATTGCTTATTTTTGTTATTGTTGTAAAAACACGTAACTTAAAATGTATTATCTTAACCATTTTTAAATATACAGAGCTGTGCAACAGATCTCTAGAACTTTTCATCCTGCAAAACAAACTCCGTTCCCACTGACTAACAATTCCCCATTTTCTTCTCCCCCCGGCCCATGGGCACCGCCATGCTACTTTTTATTTCTGAGAATCTAACGGTTGAGTGGAGTCATGTAGCATATGTCCTTTTGTGACTGGCTTATTTCACTTTGCACAATGTCCTTAAGGTTCATCCATGTGGTAAGATGTGACAGGGTTTCCTTTTTTATGGCTGAATAATATTCTCCCGTGTGTATATACCATGTTTTGTTTATCCATCATTTGATGGTCACTTGAGATGTTTCCGCCTCCTGTCTGTTGTGAGTAATGCTGCTATGAACATATATCCGAGTCTTTGCTTTCACCTCCTTTGGGTATATACCCAGGAGTGTGTAGATAAAGTCTTATTGTAATACACAGCCATGTTTGTTTGTTTACCGATTGTCTATGTCTGCTCTAACCGTGTAACAGCAGAGTTGAGTAGTCGTGACAGATCATATGGCTCACAAAGCTGAAAACATTGACTGTCTAGCCCTTTATAGAAACAGTTTGCTGACTCCTGCTCTACCTCTAATGAAATATGTACTTTCTCTGATGGTTCCTTTGGAGAGTTCCTTCTCTTAGTCTGGTTTTTAACAAGGCCTCGTTATTTGCCTGGTCTTTGACACCCACAGAACAATTACACCGGGCATGCGGCAACCACAGGCGAACACATCTGGGCCCTAACACATCTGCTGTCCTCCCAGGGGCTGGACTGACAGCAATGACAGCCTGCTTTTTTGCTCTCTTAAAACCTAGAGCAAGTATTGTCTGTACTGGGATAACAATCCCCCCATCCCGCTCCAGCACACACGTATTCATGTATTAGGGCTGTTGTAACAAATTACCCCAAACTTAACGGCTTATAACAGTAGACTTTTATTCTCTTACAGTCCTGGAGGTTAGAAGTCTGAAACCGAGTTGTCAGCAGAGGTTGTTCCTTCCAAGGGCCCTCAGGGACAGTGTGCTCCGGGCCTCTCTCTCAGCTTCCGGGAGTTGCCAGCAGTCCTCAGGGCCCCTTGGCTTGTAGCTACATCACCAGCCTCTGCCTCCATGGTCTCATTACCTCTTCCTTGTGTCTCTCCATATCTGTTTCTCCTTCTTTTCTCTTACAAGGACTTGCTGTTAGATTTAGGGGACACCCGGTCGATCTAGGGTGATCTCATCTTGAGATCTTTCACTTAATTACATCTGTAACAATCCTACTTCCATATGAGGCCACCTGCACAGGTGCTGAGGCTCCGGCCTTGGGCATTTCTTTTTTGGGGGACGTTGTAGAGGTAGGAAACACTTTTCCTCTATTCTCTTAGGTTCAGTGGCTGGGACCTGTGAACTAAACTGACCAAAGACAAATCCACAGGAGAAAGGGTTTATTTTGTAAGTGCATAGGGCCTATACAGAAAACCAAAAACCAAAAACCAAAAAACCCCAAGAAGTAGTTAGGCTTAAGAGTTTATATAGCATTTATTTTGTAAGTGCATAGGGCCTACACAGAAAACAAAAAACAAAAAACAAAAAACCAAAAATCCCCAAGAAGTAGTTAGGCTTAAGAGTTTATATAGCATTTTTAAAAAAGGTGATGAATTGTAGAGAAGTTACTAGACAAAGAAAAAGTGATTAGGTCTTCTGTGGAGAGGGCAAGTTGTGGGAAGGTAAATATTATAGGGGAAACTCGTGGAAGATAAGTGCTATTTGGTAAGATTTGTTATTCAGACTCAAGTTGGCAATCTCCAGTGATGGGAGTCTGGCGAGAAGAGCTGTTCTTTTCTTCCTGGTATGGGGGCGCAGCGGGAAGGGCACCTTTACAAATGGAAATTTATGTCCCAATTTTTGGCAGAGAGGAAGAAGGCAGAAAGTTTCCCTTTCAACACCATTCAACTCACTGCAACACGTGATGGATGACATTCACACCCAAGCTGTAAAGATGTATATGCATCTGATCTGATGATACATCTCGGGACTGGACTCAGAGTTTCAGAAAATATAGAAAATCTCGTAGGGAAATTAGGCAAATGACACTGCTTTTTTGGTGACTTTCATAAGTATATTTACCCACATATTGAGTAAAGCAGCCATGAAATATCTCAAAGATTAGTCATCCCCCCCTCAAAATTATTTATTTATTTATTTATTACTTTTCAATTATAGTTGACATTCAATATTAGTTTCAGGTGTATAGCAGAGTGGTTAGACATCTATATAACTTACAAAGCGATCCCCTGGTAAATTTAGTACCCACCTGGCACCATACGTAGTTATTACAATATTATTGACTATATTCCCTGTGATGTACTTTACATCCCCATGACTGTTTTGTAACTGCCCATGTGTACTTCTTAATCCCTTCCCCCTTTTCACCCAGCCCCTCAGCCCCCTCCCATCTGGCAACCATCAGTTAGTTCTCTGTACTGTGAGTTTGTTCCTGTTTTGATTATTCGTTTATTTTGTTCTTTAAATTCCACATACAAGTGAAATTTTATGGTATTTGTCTTTCTCTGTCTGATTTATTTTATTTATCCTCTAGGTCCATTCATATTGTTTCAAATGGCAGGATCTCACTCTATTTTTGTGGCTGAATAATATTCCATTATATATACGTACCACATCTTTATCCAGTTGTCTATTGATAGACACTTAGCTTGCTTCCACATCTTGGCTATTATATATGAAATCTTCCTTGTTTCTTGTTACAGCCTTTGTTTTAAAGTTTATTTTGTCTTATATAAGGATTGCTACCCCAGCTCTTTAAAAAATTTTCATTTGCATGAAATATCATTTTTCATCTCTTTTCTTGCAGTCTGTGTGTCTTTCAATCTCAAGTGGATCTCTTGTAGGCAGCATATGCATGGGTCTTATTTTTCTTTCCATTCAGCTACCCTATGTCTTTTGATTGGAACATTTAATCCATTTACCTTTAAAATAATTATCGATAGGTATATAGTTATTACCATTTTATTATTCACATTTTTGGTCTGCTTTTTTCTTCTTAAGTCTCTTTAACATGTCTTGTAATACTAGTTTGATGGTGATGAACTCTTTTAGATTTTTCTTATCTGAGAAGCTCTTTGTCCGTCATTCTAAATGATAGCTTTGCTGGATAGAGGGATCCTGATTATAGGTTCTTGCTTTTTATCACTTTGAGTATTTCGTGCCAGTCTCTTCTGGCTTGCAAAGTTTCTTTTGAGAAATCAGCTGACAGCCTTATGGGAGCTCCCTTGTATGTAACTAGATGCTTTTCTCTTGGTGCTTTTAGGATTCTCTCTTTGTCTTTAACCTTTTAATTTTAATTATGTGTCTTGGTGTGGGCCTCTTTGGGTTCATCTTGTATGAGACTCTTTGAGCTTCCTAGACTTATATTTCTATTTCCTTCACCAGGTTAGGGAGGTTTTCTATCATTATTTCTTCAAATAAGTTTTAAATCCTTTGCTCTCTCTCTTCTCCTTTGGGTATCCCTGTGATGCGAATGTTGTTATGCTTAATGTTGTCCAGAGCTCTCTTAAACTATCCTCATTCAAAAATTTTTTTTTTCTTTTTGCTGTTCTGACTGGGTGTTTTCTGCTACCTTGTCTTCCAAATAGCTACCTCAATCTCCTGCTTCATCTAATCTGCTGTTGATTCTATCTAATGTAGTCGTCATTTCGGTTATTGTATTCTTCATTTCCGACTGGTTCTTTTTTATGTGTGTTTTTTTTTTAATCTCCATTTTTATATGTCTTACCTCTTTGTTGAAGCTCTCACCGAGTTCATCTACTCTTCTCCTAAGTTCGTCGAGCATCCTTATAACCAGTGTTTTGAACTCTGGATCTGGTAGATTGCAATGCAGGCTCTGCTCACACATTCTTTGCTTATTCCTGATGTCTATCTTATTGTAAATATATCCCAAAGTGAAATTCAAAAGAAAGCAACAGAAACTATAAAACCACAGCTCACAAACAGTACAAATTGTAGTTCTCACAATTAACAGTATCAAGGGCTTTTGGGTTGTGACGGGACAGGCGGTTAACTCTTTAATTTTTAAATCAAAGAAGCACATCAGAAGTGACATTATCTCGGATATAACATTTACTATATTCTTAGTTATTGCAAGAGTAATTCAATTGTACATCAGAGCTGTTATGTTTTTCTTAATAACAAATTATTTATGCACATCTTGTAGCCGGCTGGAATAATGTCAAGGTTCATCTTAATAGGCAGGATTGGTTCTTTGCTGAATTATTAGGGGCTTCCTCAGTCAGAGCACTGTAGTGGAAATGGGAGTCACAGCTACATTTTCTGGAAAGAAATTGGAGGGAAGGACAAGGAAGAGAGGGATTTTTATGTACAAGTTTGCAGCCTTTTAGGGGGATTCTCAAGGGGTTACCATGTTTTCCCCTTCCATGAAAGTAGGTAAAATAAAGGACTGATCCACAAGTTAGGATGCACCTGGCTAACAAGTTGATTTCAGCCTCCTGAGACTGTCTTAGCTCAGGCTGCTGTATCAAAAATACCATAGACTGGGTGGCTTCAGCAATAAACATTTATTTCTCAATGTCTGAGGTGTTGGAAATCCAAGATCAGTGTACCAGCAGATTCTGTGTCTGGTGAGGGCGCTCTTCTTGGTTTTCAGATGCCCACCTTCATGCTATATTCTCATGGGGTAGGGGAGAGAG